CGCTGACGCACTGGGATTGGGAAGAACCGTGTTGATCTCGTCGGGCGCGAGAGGCAAGAACGCGTCCAAGGGCACGCGAGGGTGGGCGCCGGCCGCGTCCGAGTTGCACACGAGCCGGTTGGCAACCGTGGGCGGCAGCGGGACCTGCTTTGCATCCACCGTGAGCAGTATGCGCCGCCAAATGCACGCCGAAGAAGAGATGGCGCCTTGCCACTGCGCGCTGACGGCGCGTTGGCGGAGGATCGCACGACGGTCAGACCGGCAGAAGATGGCGTCCCAGAGCTCTGATGGCAGCTCCGGCACGGCTGCCCCGAGCACTAAATTCTGGCTGCGCAGTGCCACGGGCTGCTCCTCTCCAGGCTGGAGCTGCACGCCGATTCTGCCGTTTGGATCGTCGGCTGCTTTGCACACGAACCCCGTGCGGCCGTTGAGGTCGCTGCGGCCGACGAGGTCCACCAGCACAACGCGCTGCCCGCGCCGCATGCGCTCGACTGTGTCGATACCTCTCTCTCTCTCTTGTATCGGAGTTTTGCGCTATTGAAGAGGTGTGAACGTGAACAGAGTCATACCAGCACCGTGGCTCGTTACGGCACGCATGAGGGGCCTCCCGGACGTATGATCCTAGCTCAATAAGCTCCACGGAGCAGATTTGGATTTTTAACAGAATTAATGCACTGCCCCCGCACGGTACTAACTATCGTAGTTTTGTGCCGGGTGCCCTTCACGGCACCACACCGCCGCAAGACAGCCCGAGATTAGCCTAGCAGCGAGTGGGCATCGCCTGCCGGTCGGCTGGGCACGAGCCAAGCACTTGGGCGGCCGTCAACCGAGTCCGAGCGGCGCCTGAGGTGGGTGCCACGGCGTCTGCACGAAGGCGTGGCAGGGTGAGGATCCAGGAGTGGTGAACGCCTCCCCGTCGGGCGCGCGGCGCGCCGGATGGTCCGCCGAGGCCGCCGCCGCCCCGGCGGCGGCGATGGGGGCGGCGGGGCCGACCCGGCCGGCGTTTGTCGGCTCCACCTACAGAAGAGCAGTCACTGTGGGTCGACGATACTAACTCGGTAGTAACGCGGAGCGGTGCTGTGCGGCGCCGAGTCGTGCGCGAGGCGACCTCCTGAGGCTACCTGAGCTGGCAATGGATGCCACCAGGACGCACGGCTAGCAGGAGCCAGTCAGGCATGCCCTGCTGTGGAGCAGAGCTGGCTGGTGCACCGGCGATACTAACTCAGCGCGCCGCGAGAGGCGAATCTGGGCGACTTTGGAGGCGCAGTTCTCGAGCTTGCCGTCGACGATTGATGTCGGGTAAATTGTCACTGCCGTCCGGGATGGTCTTCTCTCAGGAGGCCGAGCGCCGTGGCCTGGCTCGGCTCGCCGCGGACGGCACGAATTTATCGCGCACAAAACTCAAGAAACTCAAGAACCTCTCTCCCTCAAAACTCCCGAGACCTCGATACTAACAAAACTCCGATACAGGAGGTAGCCGTTTTTCGCGTGCCGTTCACGTACGTACTTTTAGTCTCTCTTCACGTAGGGATCCTACCTAGGTACCCGGTACTCGAGTAGCTTCACAGCAAGCTGGTGTCCGAATCACAAAATCATGAATGAGCGATTTGGGGCCCGGGGTCGTGCGTTGTATATGTGAATCCCTTTCTCGACTGTCTGAGCTTGTGCGTCTTGGGGCCGGGGTTGTGTTTTTGTGTGAATCCCCAGGGCCCCAGATAAATTAAATGAAGTCGGGGGCACAGGACACCCACGAGGCACTCCGGGCCCTAACACGTAAGAAAAACAACGCGACTCTTTAACGTGCGGCGCCGCGAGGGCGGGGGCCTGTTCCTTTTTACCCATCTCACAGTAGAGAGGTGTCCGTTTTTATTTATTTACACTGGCACGACAAGGGCGCAGACTGGCGCGGACTGGCACACACACAGGCTCACCACCGGAGCCGCCTAAGCGACTCCGTTAAGAACGACAATGCACTCCGCACCATGCACAATGCCGCTCTCCCCGCACGCTAGCTCGTTCACCGTCTGCCACGCCACGGCGGTGTGGAGGACGACAGACAAGCGCTGCATCTGCAGCCCGTGCCAGTTCTTGGTGGTCCATGTGACCTCGTGGCCGTGGGGCTCAGCGAAGAGTACAGCCACCCCCTCGCCGGAGAAAACAACGTCAGTTATTTCTTTCTTGCTAGTAGGTAGGTAGGTAGAAAGGTGAAGAACAGCCAGGCTCGGACTGGACACCAACGCGGTATGGGTGGACGCTGGACAGATGATGACGACACGCACTTTCTTTAGTAAAAAGAAAGAAAATCGCCGCCATCGGTTCTGCCACGATTGTACATGACTAGCGATGTGTCATAGTTCCTCTTGTGTAAGTAAGATGCGATACCCGCCCAAGGGGCGTCTACTTGGGTTTGTCCGCGACACATCGCGGGAGATTCATGCACGAGGTACCCGCAAATGCACCCCGCCCGCCAGGGAGGCGGCCAGGGCGAAATTCCGTGAGCGGCCAACCTCGACCAGCAACGGCCGCTCTCCTCGCCGCCTGCACGCTCGCCATCGCGGCCGCCGCCCTCCGCGCGCCCACCGCCGCCTCCGCCCGCCGCCTGCACACGCCCCTCGCCCGGGCCGCGCACGCCGCGCCGCTGCACGCGCCTCGGCTCGCCACCGCTGTGATGAGTGAAGGCTCGAGCGCGGTGCTGCTCTCGACTTGTGCAGAGGCGTGCGGCGAGCTCTCCGAGCTTGTGGCCGCAATCTACGGCCTCGTCTCGGCCGACGGCAGCGCGGCCACCCTCAAGCAGGACAAGTCGGTCTTCACGCTCGCCGACGGCCTCGTGCAGGCGCTGCTCCGGCGGTTGCTCGCGCCCCACGTCGCCAGCATCGTGGGCGAGGAGGACGAGAGCGAGATCAGCGTCGACCGGCCGCCCTTCCGCGCCGGCGAGCTCATCGCGCCCGCCGAGCTCGAGGCGCTCGTCCTTCGCACCCGCGACCGGGTGGATGCGCTCTCCGGCCAGCTGGCCGGAGGGGCGTTCGCCGACCTCACGCCCTTCATCGACC